GTAGTGAAGAGTGCACGCCTTGCAATACATAACGCAGTGTTGGTACCGACATTGTTATATGGCAGCGAAACCTGGGTATGCCGAAAGAAGCATAAAAGCAAGTTGAATGCAGTGGAGATGCGATCTCTTCGTAAAATGTGCGGCGTTACCATGGCCGACCGAAAGCGAAACGAAGAGATTCGCAATATGGCAGGTTTGAAAGATGACCTTATCACAAAAATTGATAAAGGCGTGCTTCGACGGTTTGGGCACGTTGAGCGAATGAGTGAAGACCGAATGGTGAAGAAAATATATAGCGCGAAAGTTAATATTAAAAGGTGTCAAGGTAGACCGAGACTAACTTTCGAATACCATGTGAGCAAATTGCTCGAAGAGGGGAGGGTCAAGAGTACTCGGATACCTAGACGTGCATGTATGAAGAAGATAATGAATTTGAAAGAAGCGAAAGAGGTATGTAAGAATCGTGACACTTGGCGATCTGTTCTCTCTGGCTACCCCGTCAGGGATTGTGCGTGAAGATAAATAAACTTTTTCTAATTCACTTTTACTGTTCACTATGTTCTGCTACTAGTCACTTCAGCTACTACCGGATACTACTGCTTGTCACTGGTAGTTCTTCCTACTACAACGTTACTGGGATTCGCCCCCATAAGGTAGACTTCGGCTATACTGTATAGTGAGCCGCTTGCCATTTTCCGTTTTGCCTCTTTATTTTTAAACATTTTCACTATGTAATTAGCATAAAATGCAATATTTTCTATACAAGGTTAAATCTTACACTAATATGCTAAACATTATTAAATCGGCATTTTGGTCCTTTATCAGTATATGATAAAGGTTATTCAATATATTTACATTTAAAAAAGTTATTAAACGAAATGTCCCAAATTTTCATAACAAATGGGTACATTAATTCTTTAATTTTTCTATAACTACCAAATGCGTTTAATTATACAAATTATTTCTTTACTATCGTAATCTATATACCATATACTAACCAAATGTCATATTGTAAATATACCATACCATATACTAACTATACTAACCAAATGTCATATTTACAACTCTTTTAGAACACAAAATATTCTCATTATTTTCAGTACAAACTATTGCGCAGTTGATTAAACTTCCAGAAAGTTCCACGATATGACGCGCTGTGATTGGTTGATTTTTCTTAAATGCTTAAAGTTGTTTATATCAACTATTATTAAAACGACATTCTCTACAAATATATTAAGAGTTGTGAACACACTGTAAAACAATTGCAACGCAATTTGCTCGATTTCGTTAGTAATTTCACTTTTTATACAAAACAATATTCTTTCATCACTTTTTTCTTAAAGTCTTTAGGCCGTCGCGAACACATTTCATAGGTTAATAAATATGTAGCAAGCTAGATCATTGCCATATATAAATAAATATGTAGCAAGCTAGTCATTGCTTGATGTATACACTCTTAGAATAATGAGGGTTAGTAATTTTCTGATCACGAGATGTCGCTAGTTGACACTGAGGTAAAGACACAGTGTAATTTAATTGAGAAGTTGGTTTTTAATAAAAGTTTATCAGTTTCTAGAGTATCAAAATTAATACACAAAAGAATGCGTCAGTCACAGAATGGTTTGCACTTTAATTTTTTACACATTTTTATCTTTTTTTTAATTTTTCTACTTTTATGAATTTCTGTGGTTTAGTTTATTTATTTTTAATCTTATTAATATAAAATATAGCTGTTACGGCCTCCAGCTGCCTCTGCAAAGGTCACCTTGGCTAGGGCCCATAGTAGCCTCCTCGAAGGCAGCCGAGGGTTCGGGCCCAAATGGCCATATGGACTACTGACCTATCATACTACACAATAGGGAGAAGGCTAGGTAAATAAATAGTACGTACCTGGATCCGAAGCTAAGACCGCACCAAGGCTCGGTCAGGCCGTAGGTAGGTGTAGGTGATAAGTGATATGCATGTAAAGTGGTGTTTGGTAGTGTTTATTTATGTGACCTGGCCCAGCTGAGGTAACCGGGCAGCGGCCTGGTCCCATGCTGTCCCACAACGCTGCATCACTCCAGCAGGCGTCACCAAGGGACATCTTCTTTCTTCATGTCACTATTTCAGTCTATCAACTTTATTGTACATTTAACTAACTTCAACTCAACTAATTCAACGTTCATCGTAAAATTAAACACTTGATACCCAACACAAGTAACGAACAGTAGTTCAAAGTTCAATATTCAAGGTTCCGGATTCAATTATCACAAAATTACAAATAGGGAACTAACGCGATCTCTTCACGAGTCACAAAGTTCAGCGTTACAAACAACAACTAAATTCCTTCTTTCGATATTAAATACTACGCCGCAATAAGAATTCAAAATCAACCTAGTTGACACACAAACTAACTACAGAGTCAACAAACAAAAGGCTCTTAACGCGACGGTACAATTAAACAATGACTTCACAAAAACAATCAACCGGTAGTCGGCGCGCGCGCAAGATTCCTCGTCACACAAGCAAGTTAAATATTGCAAAATGCACTTCAACACGCAATCACTATATAATTGGCGCAATTACTTTAATCAGTCAAATTCCATACAAGCCTCTTGTCACGACCGTACAACTTAGACAAACTAAACCGAGGCGGTCTTCACGAAATCACAATTCAGTAGCGAAATAACGCGCACAAATACTAAATCTAGACCATAAACCCAAAAAATTGGTCGCGCGAAATATATGCAGCGGTCTTCAAAATACGCTAATTGCCCGCACCGCTGTCCTCCCAGCTACTGTTTTCGCACACGAGCGCCAAAACGCTGGGAAGCTGCATACCGATGCCCCCTACCCGCGACGCGCGTGACACCTAACACAATCGGGCGATTCACTAAGTCGAAGGCGATTGGATGCCGTCTCAAATGACCATTTTGGGGCCTAAACAATAGCTAATAGTACAGAAAGCAACAATAACCTTTACATTTTCCGAACAAATTAATTTCCCCGCTATTAAATCTGTCAAATATTATACCTCACCTCCTAACGGTGCCGCACTGGTAGCAGAAAAATTCGTGGCGACGCCCTCATCACATATACATCATACATAGAGAACCTACAATCTTACATAAATTGAGTCAATAAACACATCAACAGGATTTAGGAATATTTTATATTTTATAAAATATCTAAAAACCTATGAAGATTTTCTGTTATAGTAAATGGAAGAATGATAGGTTATTTTAAGGTATTTAATAAAAAATAAAAAATGTTTCGTACTTTATTTTGTTTTAAATAAAAATGTTAATTTTTTTAATAGTCATAGAAAATTAGAATGATAAAAATACTTCGTTTCTTCTTATAAAACCATTAATTTTAATTAAAATTGAAAAAAAAATCTTATAAAATCTAATTATTAATAACCAGTGCTGCCACCTCTTACATTAATTACGCATCGACATAGATTGTTCATACTTAAAATTAAATTTTCAAGTCTTGCTGCGGTATGAGGTCCCATGTTCTTTGCAAATGTCCGTAAAGTTATTATTCCATAGTCAAATTTGGCGGTAAAACTCTCAAAGCTTTTCATTGTAACATGTCCCAGCTATGCTTAGTAGGATTTAAGTCGGGCGACTTTGCAGGTCAATCCGAAACTTGAACATCGTGGTCTCGGAGAGCGGCCGTATGATAAGGTGCATTATCGTGCATGAGTAGAAATTCCTGGCCCATTGGGATTCTGTGTGGGATAATAACAGGCTTTACTACCTCCTCGTGGTATTCTTGTGCAGTCATCCTGGCTTGGATCCAAACGAGCTGGTTTCGAATCGGATAGAAGAATTCCGGCCTACACCATAATTGCTCGCCTTGGTATGAGCGGACCTCCTAAGAGTGCCGTAGACGCCTAACTCTCTTTGGAGTTTTCCATACTCTAGTTCTTCGTGAATCCGGGTTAAACACAAACCGGTACTCATTGGTGAACAGCACCAAAGAAAATTGTTCGTCACTCCATGGGAAATGCTCCAGAGCCTACAAAAGCCGACAACTGCGATTGCCACGTCGCAATGCTGGAACAGGTAATGGTTTTCGAGCATGAAGACCAACTTCATGCAACCTCATTCACACGGTTTGGTCGCTTACTAGCAGCTAGTGGTCCTTCTGGAGAGTATCTTGAGGAAGCTGAGAAGAAAACGGGTAATACGTTCGTAATTGATTTATTGGTAGTTGTGATCTAGCGACAAAGGAGCACGGTCGTGCCGCTGTTATTGTACTATCGTAGCAGTGTCCTCTGTGTACATTTCGTGAAGCAAAGTGTCTATTAAGCCAACATAGTTATTATTGCCAGTAAAACCCATTAAGGCCGGCCACATACATACGGAATTCCGTTTCGGGATTCCGTTTCGATATTGCGATTCGGAATCCCGAACGCAGCAAGTCCTTATAATATCTATGACCCGTCACACACGTACGGTAGTTTTCCGTTCGAAATTTTGCGAGCAAAACGGGATTCCGTATGTGTGTGGCCGACCCGTTCGGAATTCCGAAACGGAATCTCGAAACAGAATTCCGTATGTATGTGGCCGGCCTTAAAGTCTTAAGATAATGTGGCGGAAATATACCAATGGAAATAAGTCAAATGGAGTTTTGGCGGGAACTTGACCGGCGGCGGTTTGCTGCTCCTGTATTATAGTTTAAATAATAGTTTGAATTGCGATTTTATGTATTAACTGTCTACGCATGTGAACTATTAGTGGAAACGGTGAAACAAGTGCTCTGATGGTGATTGATTCTCAAGATAAGCTGCTTGTCTGCATAGGCACCTTTAGATACTATCGCCAACTGTCAGCTGTCTGCTGGCTCAAGTTGCCGTCAAAATCTCCCAAGGACTGCACAATGTGACGCATCAACATATTGTGAAGCAGTGAACTATGAAGGATGATATAAAAAAGACAAGTCTGTATGACTTAGTTCCTTTGCCTGCTCTCTCCAGCGAATAATAAAAACAACAATCAAATGTCACTAGTAAGAAAAAATGTTTTGCATCACATCACAGTCACAAATTATTATGCATTGTTAATTATTCACTTCTGTACGTTTAAGATTTTTAATGTGTAAAGCCTACTGTTGTTTTAAATTATCCCTTCAAGATTTCAGTTAAAAGTAATGAATAATTATGTTTGGCTATAGCAAGGAAGCAGTTAGAGTGAAAGTCAAGGTTTGTATTGTTCGCCTCTAAAATCACTATTATAAAGTTGAATAAAATTGCTTATATGTATTCTATTTACAATTATATAATGAAAATTGTATTGTGTTATTGGTGGCATAAGTATTTACAAATACTTGAAATTTTATTCCATGTTTGTATTCACCGACGCAAAACATAAATGCTAGATTTACAATTAAATATTGCCTGTGTTTTTGACAGAAATGTGAAGGGAAGCTTCAACCTGAATTAAGGAAATTTTCTGTAGATCCCCAAATCACTTCATTAGAAGTGTTACAAAGCATTTTAGTTAAAGCATTTGATATCAAATCTGATTTCACACTATCATTTAGAACCCTAGATGACTATGGCCAAGAGATTTACTTACCTCTTCTTTCTGATTGGGACCTTGATGCTGCTTTTCTCAAGTAAGTTTTTTTACTTCTTGATAATAAAGCTTAAATTTCTTTTTTCTTAATGTAGTAAGTGCCAAGAGTATATTAAATAACATTATTTAGAATATGGTTTTTAAAGAGTAAAGAAGGACTACAATAGTACTTATTAAAACAATGATAATGGATTAATACTACAACTGGGTCGACTAAGTGTCTGGCAATCAGCAGACTAATTAATAATCTCTATAAATTTGTTTTAGTCAGTAGACTAGTAAATAAGTAAAAGGTTTGATGGAAAATAGAATGAATAAAAGTGATAGCAGTTGATTCTATGAAGAATTCCACACAGTTCATTACTGGGACCTGTGCTGTACATTTTGTACAGTGTATGTATATTGAAATGCATTTAAAACTGCAAATACCACATGTATACTAATGACATTCAAGTTTATTTATCTTTCAACCCAAAAATAAGATGACTACTACACTTAAGAAAATAATTCTGAGCTTAAAATCTAAAAGACTGATCTCATGAAGACCATTGTGATACTTATTATTAAAAAAAGAACTGGTGATACATCGGACTTAAACAATTACAGGGCAATATCAATAGCTCAATCACTAGCCACCGTAATAGCTAATTTGCTGGACAGTCTGCTTGACAGATAAATTGCAAAACCTGGACTATCCATAGAGTCATAGAGAACACAATTTTTATTCTTAATCAGACTGTAAGGTACTACACAGATAAGCATACACTGGCATTTTTCTGGTTTTTAGATCTATCAAAGCTTTTAATCTAGACTTTGAAAGGAGTCCTCAAATTTAACTAGGTACTGGTCACTTTATAACTTGGACTTAGATGGTGACCTAGATATAGAAAGTAAACGTAATATGCTGGCCTGCAGGTTTACACGATGTACTAAAGAAGTAAAAGTAACACTTTTTAAAGCGCATTGTCCGTGCTGTTATATATGCAGTTTGTGGATTAGATATACGCAGCATGCATTCAACGTCCTGCGTGTCCAGTATAATAATGTATTCAGGGTACTGTTAGGATTGTCACATTATTGTAGTATCTCTGTTAAGGCAATATGCCTTCCATGCCATTATTCGTGAAAGGTTAGCTTCATTACTAAATTAATTGCATACTTCATGACAACTCCCTGGCACAGTGGGTTTGTGATTAGTTACGGTGTTGAGGGCTGCGGGCCGCACGGAACAAGTAATTGTTACGAGTCTGGATGTTTGTCCTTGTGAAATTCATGAATGTAAACTGCCCCCACGATACAGGAGAAAGTCCTAGTGTGAAGGTAAGACAGGTTTTTAAAAACAAAAAAAAAGAATAAGAAGAATAACCTCTACCAATAGCATCCTGAACACACTTGCTGATAGGTGGAATTCTTCCATTGTGATGCACTGGTTAAGATTACATGTATAAAGATAAATGTAGTGTATGCATGGTGTTTAATTTGTTAAGTTTTGGTTTTTAATGTTTTCTTTACTTTAAATACTAATATGTATATACATATATTATTGTAATACAAACATCTCTATGGACTAAGTCTAATTTAAAAAAAATGTTAAAAAATTGGCATCATAGTCTTTTCATAGTCTGAACATAATTGTTTGGTTCTTTATAGAAATAAATCTAAATTTAAAATTATAGGTACAAAAGTCAAACAAATGTGGTAAAAAACTTAGAATTAGCAAATTCCTTGGTGCCAAAATGAGAAAAAGGTTGGTCAAGAGCCTAGTGCTATATAAATTAAACTATTGTCACATATTTAATTTACCTCTGTCGTCTCTTACGACACCTATGGGGTGATATGGGATAGTTCATATACTTTCACCACCACTAAATGGTAGAGTACTGTAATAGTGTATGTCATATATGGAAGCTCAGTTACAAAATGACTTCAGTACATTCAACTTAGAAAATGATAAATCAGTACTACTTTGCTTTGGAAATAACTGCTTAAAAGTAGCAATGTTTAAAGATCTTAACTTTAAACTTTGAAGGACACTGAAGAAATTTTTGAAAAGGATTTTTCTTGATAATTATTTAGTTATATTATCTTAAACCTGGCTGACTAAATACTTTTTTTTATAAAATGTTATTTATAGGGCTCATAATATAGCTCTAACACAGAGATCAGAACCATGTGTACAACTCAAAGTGGATATGAAGCCGTTTGCTGAAGCGTCGGAAGACTGGGAACCTCCTACAAGCCCATCACCTATTACTAACCAGGCTAGCAAAGAACAACCAACGGTTTGTCCAGCATCACAACAAGTTGAGAAACAAGAGTCACAAACGGGTTTTCAAGGATTAATCATGAATCAAGTAAAACATAAATCTTATTTTAACTTTAAATATATTTTTTCTAATAAATAATAACTCTACTATCCAAATTAAATGAAGTAAAGATATATTCATGAAAAGCAAGATGTGAGCACATTATTATTAAGAAAGTATTTACTTAAATATTCAAACAAATTTAGTCACTTTCACCTCATCACTATGCAAGTGTTGAAACTTTTAGTACCCTACTAGAATTGGCCACTATTACTAATTGTGTTACGGATTAAAGCAATGAACAGAACATTGCAACACAACACAACCATAATCATAAACATTCACATCTGTCACCCAGAGGGGTAGGCAGGGACTATGGAATTCCATTTGGTATGATTGTGACACAACTCTCTCGCCTCCTTTACTTCCATATACCTACTCATACACGTTAATCCGACCCATCTTAAATATATCGCCAATTTGGTTGATAAACTTTCGTCTAGGGCAGGGGTCGGCAACCTACGGCTCGCGAGCCACATGTGGCTCTTTGGATGTGAAGCTGCGGCTCTTTAGTTTCATACACAAATATTATTTATTTTATTTATAAAAAAAAATTAAAAATCTATCCACACTGAGCCATTGGAGTTGATTCTGGATATCTAGAAATGCAATTGATCGATTTGAAAAGTAAAGCTTTGTGGAGTTGAAAATTTACAGAGTTGAAAAGCAAGTTGAAAGATTTGGAGGTCCAGAAATGTACGAGTATATACGTAACGCAACAAAAATAAACAGCTTTAAAAGAAATGCTGCGAGTTGAGGCACTTATATTCGACAAATGGATTAGTCTTCCACATTCCTACAGTGAGGTGAAGAAGTTGGCATTTGGAGTGCTGACTATCTTCGGATGGACATATTCGTGTGAGCAAGTGTTCTCTTGCATGAATATAATTAAAAGTTATTTTATTAAAATTATTAAAAGTTATGAATATATATATATATATATATATAAATATATATATATATATATATATATATATATATATATATATATATATATATATATATATATCTGAGCGAGATTAGAATGGCTCTCCAGCACCTTAAAAACGGCAAGGCCCCAGGCGAGGATGGAATTACAGCGGAGCTTCTGAAAGCGGGTGGTAAACCGGTACTTGAAGTCCTTCAGAAGCTCTTTAATTCTGTCCTCCATGGTGGCATTACGCCGGAGGCGTGGAGCAGAAGTGCGGTGGTCTTGTTCTTCAAGAAAGGCGACAACGCTCTCTTGAAGGACTACAGACCGATTTCCCTTTTGAGCCGCGTCTACGTGCTGTTTTCAAGAGTCATTACGAATCGTCTCGCGCGCAGACTTGACGACTTCCAGCCTCCCGAACAATCCGGTTTCCGAAAAGGCTTTAGCACCATAGACCACATACATACCCTTCGGCAAATTGTACAAAAGTCAGAGGAGTACAATTTGCCACTATGCCTGGCGTATGTGGACTATGAGAAAGCCATTGATTCCGTCGAAATTCGGGCGGTGCTGCAGTACCTTCAGCGGTGCCAAGTTGACTGTCGGTATATCGAAGTGCTGAAGTGATTGTACAGTAGAGCTTCGATGGCTATCCCAGTACAGAACCAGAGTACGAAACCTATCCAATTGCAGAGAGGTGTAAGACAGGGTGACGTCATATCCCCGAAACTCTTCACCGCTGCATTGGAAGACGTTTTCAAGCTTCTGGACTGGAAAGGATACGGTATCAACACCAATGGCGAGTACATCACTCACCTTCGATTTGCTGACGATATAGTGCTTATGGCAGAATCGCTGGAGGACCTAAGCACTATGCTCAATGACCTCAATAGTGCTTCCCAACGGATAGGTCTTAAGATGAACATGGACAAAACAAAGATCATGTTTAATGTCCATGTCACACCTATGCCGGTAGTTGTTGGGAGCACTAAGCTCGAAGTTGTTTACGAGTATGTTTACCTGGGACAAATAGTCCGACTAGGTAAGTCCAACTTCGACCGAGAGGTCAATCGGCGTATTCAACTCGGTTGGGCAGCGTTCGGGAAATTACGGCACATCTTCTCGTCAGGTATACCTCAAAACTTGAAAACGAGACTGTACAACCAGTGCATGTTGCCAGTGATGACATACGGAACTGAGACGTGGTCTTTCACTGCTGGCCGGATGAGGAAACTCAAGGTCGCTCAGCGAGCTATGGAGAGGGCTATGCTCAGAGTTTCTCTGCGTGATAAACTCAGAAATGAGGATATCCGCAGTAGAACCAAAGTGACCGACATAGCTCAACGGATTAGTAAGCTGAAGTGGCAATGGGCCGGCCATATAGCTCGAAGAACCGACAACCAATGGGGAAGAAAGGTTCTCGAGTGGCAGCCTCGTACCGGCAGGCGAAGTGTTGGGCGTCTCCCCACAAGATGGAGTGACGACCTGGTAAGATATGCAGGAAGTCGATGGATGCAGGTGGCTCAGGACCGTGCTTTGTGGCATTCCTTGGGGGAGGCCTATGTTCAGCAGTGGACTTGTGAAAGGCTGTAATGATGATGATATATATGTGTGTGTATATATATACCCAGCAATGGTGGATAATCTGGTACGTACGTATTCGGGCGGGGGGGAGATGGCCTCGGTTCCCTAAAAAAAATTCTACCCCGAACGGTTCGCGCCCTACGCCATGTTTTATAAAATTCCGAAAATTCGTACTTCTGCTCACATTTGTGGTCATCACGTCCACAGTTTAATGCCTAGATCGGATTTTTTTCTTTTAATGTGTTCACTAATAATGATGTTCCTAAATTACCCCTAAAAGTTTTCAACTACTATGGGTAGTATTTTACAAGACGGCACTAAACATAAGTTTAAATTTTTTACTTTATTTATCTGCTAAGTTTGAGCACCTGTGGTGAAAAAAAAACTTATGGGATCTGTGTGGCCAACCATTTAAAAAGTTTGCCTACATCATGAGGATTCTAAAACATTAGTATACTATGTAATTAATATCATTACTTACTGAGCTATAGCCGTTAATGTGTAAAAGTAGGCATTTCATTACAAAATTACAAAATTATTGGCAGATAGTATTTTTAACATTGCATGTCTTTATTAGGTATAAGTACATCTGTAGCCCTTGAAAATTTTACTTTATTACCTGCTTGCCTTGTGTGGACGAATTCTAAGACGTGTTCTATTATGTACAGCTGTGAAAATATGGTTTGTACTGTTTTTTTTTCATTTGTTAAGAATGCGTAAATTAATGAAAAGAACATGAGTTATATCCATTTTTTTTTAATTTAAAATCATTTACAGAAAATGCTCCGGCCATTATGCAGGCTCTACATCTTTTTACAAACGATCTTTCTAAAAGTCTTTGATAATTTTTGGTTGAAATAACCCTTAATGCTTCTGTAACGCGAAGTCTAAGTTCGTCGATTGTTTCATTTGGTTTTTTATAAACTTGTTCCTTCAGACAGCCCCAATAAAAAAATCTAATGGGTTAAGATCAGATGATCTTTGTAGTCACAATAACGGCACCATTCGGCCTATCCATCGGTCACGATGGGCTTCGTTTAAGTAACTCCTTACTTGGACGGCGTAATGTGCCGTACAACCATCATTTTGGAGCCACTTTGCCGGGTGGCTAGTGGCTCATCTTTCTATAAATGTGGCAGCTTATTTTGCAGAAATTCTAAATAACTGGCCCCATCCAGGTTATCCGGCACTTCATAGGGGCCTATGATTCTTCCGTTTAGAATTCCTGTCCAATAATTTATTTTTAACTGATATTGCGACCTATCTTCTCCCATCAAATATGGGTTTGCTCGCTGCCAACTGTGCAGATTATGCAAGTTAAGGTACCCGTCTCTTTTACACGTTGACTTGTCGCTCCACAAAATTTTTCTAAAATACCCAGGATCTTCATCCATTCGCCTCAGCATTTCTTTACAAAAGTAACTTGTGCTGGGTAGTCGCGTTGTTGAAGCGTTTGCACACGTGTAACGTAATAAGGCTGAAGTCTCCATTGTTTGAGAATCCGATGTGGTATAGAGTGCGATACTCCAGTGCGTCGTTCGATATCTCGCATCGAAATAGACGGATCTTTTTCAATCATATCATGGACAATTTCTTCAATGTCAATGTCAGGTATCTTCCTCTGCTACTGACGCCACCAATACCAGCACCAGGCATTCTCCCCTCTGAATAAATGCAGTACATTCTTTATTATATCTCTTTCACGCTACATTCACCATAGACATGCATTATTGCATACTCTTGGGGTGTGTACATTTCTCTTGACATGACACAGTCCTGTTGTTATGCACAAATCATGAGTCCATTAGAATGCAGTTGTCACAATCATCACCAAACAAACAAAATCCAATCAAAATGCACAAATCAAGAGTCCAGTACAATGCGAAATAGTATTTTGTAGCCAAGAGTCCGAAATAAGAGAGCATATGCGATGTCGAGAAGGTCGATATACGCACTAACCATATTTAACAATAACCAAACACGAATTCCAATCAAGAATTCATAAAATGGAGAATCTGTCGATCATTTTTATTCACATTAATCCTAAGCACCGTTTGTCTCGCTCACACAGCTTAAAATTCGTCCACACAAGGCGAGCAGGTAGTATAGTAAAATTTTCAAGGGCGACAGATGTACTTTTACCTAATAAAGACATGCAGTGTTAAAAAAACTATCTACCAATTAATTTTGTAATGAAATGCCTACTTTTACACATTAACGGCTATAGCTCAGTAAGTAATGATATTAAGTACATAGTATGCTAATGTTTTAGAATACTCATGATGTAGGCAAACTTTTTAAATGGTTGGCCACACAGATCCCATACTTTTTTTTTCACCACAGGTGCTCAAACTTAGCAGATAAATAAAGTAAAAAATTTAAACTTATATTTAGTGCCGTCTCGTAAAATACTACCCATAGTAGTTGAAAACTCTTAAGGGTAATTTAGGAACATCATTAGTAGGGAACACATTAAAAGAAAAAAAAAATCCGATCTAGGCATTAAACTGTGGACGTGATGACCACAAATGTGAAAAGAAGTACGAATTTTCGAAATTTTATAAAACATGGTGTAGAGCGCGAACCGTTCGGGGTAGAATTTTAGAGGTAATAAAACCACTTAAAATTTGCAAATTAATTTTTTTATTAAAATTATTTTTTTTAATGTTCAAGTTTTTTGAAAAAAGTTTTTTCTCTACGTTTGAATACTGACGATAACGCACTTACAGGGAACCACGGGGTTTTATTACACGTTGTATATATATATTAGATAATAATAGAAGTTAGATTCTAATTTATTGTGAAAAACACTATTTATATATGAATAAATAGATTAGGTTTTTTTTATTAAAAAAATATTATTTATACAAGTATACCAACCATAAATAGTTATGGCTGACAAGAAAACAATTTGTGGCTCTTTAAGAACTTTGAAATTTTGTAAATTGTTATTTTTGGCCCTTCCGACTCAAAAGGTTGCCGACCCCTGGTCTAGGTCATCCCTTCGTGACTCTGTCATTCCCTTCTGCAACATAAATTTGTTTTGTCACTCTTTCCTCATTCACCTGTATTTATCCTGGTCACATCATCATCTTGCACACTACACTTTTCTCTTATCACACAATTTCTCATCCTGTCATTCAGTTTCAACCCTTACATACTCTTTAATGAATGCATTTCTATAGCATTTAATCTACTCTTGTTCTTCTTCTGTCACACCCAACTTTCACTACCATTAAAGTCGGAACAAACACAAACCATCTGCAAACAAAACCTGTAATGGTTATGCTCAATGGCATATGCAAATCTTTCCTATTATTGATAAGTCCCAAATTTAATAGTAGACTGTTAATGGACCTATAGCAAGATGATGATTTTCGACAACATATTTGCTGAAAATATTAAAATACTACAAAAGGGTATGCGCAAAAACGGAGACACTCACACATACCTATTTCTAATATTACGTTTATAAAATAAGATTACATTCAATCTTATTACACAAAGGTGTGACAGTCAGTGACAAGTACCACACAACTAGACCCGAAAATTAAAATTTCATGTTTTCACACATATGTTGGCCCTATCTAGGGATTTGAAACCAGGACTTATGTAATGTAGATGTTACACATGCACTTAGAACGAAACAGCAGAATTGAGCTGCTATTTTACGCTGGTATTCTGTGAGAGCATGGTCCTACCCCGGTCAAGCTGACCGATTTCTGTTACAACCATAACAGAGCTGCAATGTGGCTCTACCACGTGAAAATAAACCATGATTTCGCTTTTCCTTATACTTAGTATGTTGACAGGTTGAAAAAACATTTAACATAGTATCAAGGGCACTGAATTTGTATGAAGACCCTAATACACCACCTCGTCCACCTCTCAATGACATCGAGTTTAGGGCTTTCCTTGATGCTGTAGGACAAATAACAAATACTTCTAAGTTACGGGAAGTTATATATTGTGGTGGAATTGAACCGAGCTTAAGGTAGGCTATAAATATTTTTTATCTATTTTATTCCTGTTTTATATTTTATTTCATACTTTGGTTTTAAGAGCCCTCTTACATTTTGGCGTTTCGCAAATTTAGGTATTTTACGCACCAAGCGGGCGGCGAGCTTCGTGACCGATACTTTCTTTCATATCTAATAAACTGGTAAGATCAACTCTCGCAATTCAAATTACCAGTTAAGTGTTAACAACAAATTAACTGTATCAGATCAGGACGTAGCAATGGTTTTTGAGAAATATTTTACTGATATTCCGATCTTGACCACTAAGTCACTGAATTCTTCTCCTGCCGTCGCCGAATCATTACTTAAACAAAATGTAAAGGTGTGTACAAAGAATTTTACATTTCATAAAGTGTCATCAAAAGATATTGTAAAATATTTTAAAACTATTGATGTTAAGAAAACTGCGGATCTGTGGGGGATTTCCGTTAAAGTTATTGCGTCTATAATAGATACAATCGCGCCTCATTTAGCTATTATTTTTAATACTAGTATCGAATCTGGTGTGTTTCCTGATTTAATGAAGCAAAGTAAAGTAATACCTTTATTTAAATCTGGTAGTACATTAGACCCCGCCAATTTTAGACCTATTTCTGTACTACCAACACTTAGTAAGATTTTTGAAAAAATTGTTCTTGATCAAATGTTAAATTTTTTTAATATAAATAATTTACTTCATAAAAATCAATTTGGTTTCACAAGGGGTTGCTCGACAACTGATGCCGGTGTTGAGCTGATTAAATATATCTTTAATGCATGGGAGAATTCACAGGATGCTTTGGGTATATTTTGTGACCTATCCAAGGCCTTCGATTGTGTTCACCATGAAACATTAATCAGGAAACTTCAACACTACGGTGTAAGAAGTGATGCTCTTAAATTAATTATTTCATATTTAAGTAAGAGAACGCAAAAAGTTGTCATTAACAATATGAGCTCTTCCGGATCGATGGTACAAATGGGCGTGCCTCAAGGCTCAATTCTCGGCCCCTTTCTGTTTCTTGTATACATTAATGACTTACCTTACATAGTAGGGGATAACCATGATATAGTATTATTTGCAGATGACACTTCTTTAATTTTCAAATTAAGTCGACAGTTACTAAAATATGACGAAGTAAATAATGCTATATCTAAATTAGTAAATTGGTTCGATGTTAATAATTTGCATTTAAATGGCACTAAAACAAAATGTATGAAATTCGTGACTCCAAATGTCAAACAATTAAATACTAATGTAATTTTAAATGGGGAGAAACTGAGTCTTGTAGATACCACCATTTTTCTTGGAATCACACTAGACGCGAAGCTTCAATGGAGCCCCCATATATCAAAACTAGCAAGCAGACTTAGTTCTGCAGCATATGCTGTAAAAAAGATTAGAAGTCTAACCAGTGTTGAAACAGCTAGACTAGTTTACTTCAGCTACTTCCATAGCATAATGTCGTATGGTATTTTGCTATGGGGACACGCAGCTGACACTGAAATTATATTTGTTTTGCAGAAGAGGGCCATAAGAGCAATTTATGATTTAAAGTCTAAAGAGTCGCTGCGACAAAAATTTAAGGAAATTAATATATTAACTTTGGCCTCTCAATACATTTATGAAAATGTAATGTACGTACACAAAAATAAAAGTAGTTTTACAAAAATAAGTGATATTCATTCTGTAAATACTAGGAACAGACACAAGCTAGTAGTACCAGTTACTCGACTCCATCGAGTCAGTAATTCATTCTTGGGGCGATGTATACGCTTTTACAACAAAATTCCAGAAAATATACAAAGTTTGACCTGTTCAAAGTTCAAAAACTTTATTAAACTAAGTTTGTATAAAAAGGGTTATTATAATATTAAGGAATTTATGGATGATCATAACCCCTGGAAATGAGGTGATCGCTACCAAGCTATTTCTAATTTGTTGTGTTGTTAATTTGTGTAACATCATGATTGTAAGCTGTTATTTAAAAAAAGTCCCGCTGGGTTTCTTGCTGGTTCTTCCCAGGACAGAGGTTTTTTCCGAACCAGTGGTAATCAAACAAAAGAGTGACTTTCAATAAGTATTATTTATAATCTATATTGAATAAAAAAGTTTCTGTTTCTGTTTCTGTTTCTATCTATTCACTCGCTCGCACTATAATACTGTGAGTATGGCGATTAAACGATCTTGATCTTCCATAATACAAAGTTTTCTTAGGATGGACTTCAGTGGATGGAATATTTTTTGGTGTGTCATTTAAATGTTATCTTATTAATTTATTATTATATACCATTTTGATATATTATTCATTATTTATGAAATTTAGTGTCAAAAATAAGTACACATAAATATTTTAATTGTTACGCCGTAATCGAATGTTAATAATCGATTATGTCTACTACCGGTGTATATAATAGTGGTATAAATAAATCATCATTATCATCATTACAGCCTTTCATAAGTCCACTGCTGAACATAGGCCTCCCCCAAGGAATGCCACAAAGCACGGTCCTGGGCCACCTGCATCCATCGACGTCCTGCAGGTATAAATAAATAAACGGTTATAACCTGTTTTAATAAATATAAACAACCAAATGTAACTACTATTTTTTAATCGGTACTTACAGTCAATTACAATATTTTTTATTAGAAAAATATTTGCTGCGACGGCATTGACCGAACTTTTCTCGAGTCGATAATTTCAGGCAGTACACACTTTTCATAAAAAGCTTGTAACTTGGGTAACATATTGAAAATCTAAAATTGGTCGTCTTTGTAAATTTTTAGTACTTTTACTGCATAATATGGGCCAATACATATTATGGCAAGTATTCAGACATTTTTATTTGTTAAATGAAGCTGGCCTTGGATTTGGTAAAACCAGTCATTATTTTGATTTAATGTTACACTTGAATCAATGAATTTATAACCTTTAACTTTTTTTTTGTCGAAAGGCCGTGTCAAAATCTATTATGAAAGCTGAAATAGGGCATTTAACTTCAATAAGACCGTTGCTCTATAAACCATTAGGTAAAGCCCTCAAATAACAATGATCTAGGTCAATGAATAGACCACATTTTTCTATAATAATACATTCTTGTTTGCTCAATTGTGCCAATGCTACAGACTCGTTGTCCCTACCATGTTTAATGGAAGAGACGTAATCTAAATTATAACTATATAAAATAGTTTTAAACCGATCGATCAAAAATTGCGGTCGTAGTTGACGAAGCTCTAGCATGCAGGCAATCGACGCACACTACGGTAGTATCGAAACGATGCAACGCCCGAAATCAACTGACGCAGGTCCACCCTCGGCAAGCGCTCGCGCGTTAATGATCGCAGATGGCCGGCGCAGTGAAATATATAGTACTTTTATTTAATTAATGAAAATATAATAGTAACGATTTAAAAAGTAAAAATAATAGTATAGTTTAAGCAAATGTTGATGATTATTTTGGTATAAATTTTACGTCTAAATGATGTAGAACTGCGGAAATATAGATGCTTGTATCGAAGCTTTTTTGGTCGTTTTTTGAATTATGTCGATTTTTTTTCCTAGCGTGAAAAGCAAATAACGAAAATTTATTCCATTATTATTAAACTGTAGGATATTTGGGAGATAAAAATATTTTTTTTGATGGTCGATATTCAATATAATCTACAAATAAGAGCTCCCATATCATGTCTTCGAGAGTTTTTGCCTAAACATGCATCGGGAGAATGATTATTACTGATTAAATAAATAAGTTATCTAAAATCCGCTCTGAGCTTATTTGAGGAGAGAAAACGAACTATTTTCACCAAGTAATTGTTATTTCAAGCAACGAACGATAAACATACAATTTCAACGAGGAAACCTTGTAATTTCGCGTTTTTTTTTTTTTGTAATACGCCTCTTAAGCAACACTGCTAAGTAGTTAGTTAAAATTTATATTAAAGCATCTTCCGCATACAATTAAATGCTTATGCCATAGTAATAATAACATAATGATTCTACTTGATTAATGCTCAAAGACTAAAAACACTGTTCAATTTTAAGACGCCGTTAAGTCTCGTGCTGTCTCTATAACTTTAAATCAAAGAAAGAAAATGAAAGTGAAACAGACATTATTTTATACTTTCCCTTAAAAATATCCTATTCCCATCTAAAATATTCTGCATCTTGTTACAAACTTCCGATAAACTTAAGATTAATCTTTGCATTTGCAAGTTAATTTGAGCATTACGCATGCTGTACACATATTATGTGGGTCGGCATTAATAGACAGCGGCCGCGAATATGTAAATTTCAACAATTTCGTTATTAATTGTATGATTACGTATCATACATATGCACTCACACCCTCTCCACAACACACACACACACACACACACACACACACACACACATGAGCGCGCGCGCTCATGTGATGTGATTCAGTACAAAGTTTGTAATTAATATTATTACTTATTGCAATTGCCTATTTGTTAGTAAGCAATGATACTGTTTTTATTTTAGAAAAGTTGTATGGAAGCACATTTTAAATGTGTATCCAGACGGTATGACAGGAAAGGAAAGAATGGACTACATTAAAAGAAAAGCCAATGAATATTATGCACTCAGATCTCTATGGAAAGACTGTATCCAAAAGGGAAAGGTATTTATTTGTACTCTTTTGAAAGAATGTCATAACGATTTGCTTTGCCAGTCGGTCACAGGCCAATGGATGACCTTTCTCATTGTAAGAATTTGTTGTAGTCATCACGCTTGACAGCCGATTGGTGTCTGTATCTATAAGATAACTTGTATCTTTGAAACTTCTTATACCCAGACCGGCAACTCTTGCTAGTCTGGGTATTTCACATCTGGCGTACACGAGGTCGTATACCGATATCTCTCTTACGACACCGATTAGACGAAATGTGTTGAGGGCCTCTGCTTTTGCGTATCACACATGTTTTCACACGAATTTAACAAAACGAAACTAACAACAAGGTAATAATTTTTTTTAAAGTTCTTAAAAATAAAAAAGTAGTACTAAAGTATAGCGTATGCAAAAATTAAAGCCCCGACTTCAGTGGCTTTTACATTATGTGAAAATAATTAAGTTTTTTTATTACTTTTTTAAATAGCTTTTACTTTTAAAATTCCTATTTGACCTTTTAAACTGAGGAATATATATTAAAAACTTCATACCCTATTTTTCCCACTGGTTCCATCCTTGGTGTATAGTCTTATTTAATAAAATAATTATCAACATTGTTGATAATTATTGATAATTGGCGAAGATATCGCGCAACATACAAAGAAAAAGTCAAATTAAAAACCTCCCCCTTTTTGAGATCGACTAAAACTTTTGATTCTAAAAAAACTCTTGTTGGTATTAGGAGTTAAATACTTACACACATTTCTTCTGCCACATTTTATTATTTCTTTTGTGTGCTTTTAGGTTAATTCTGATTTAGCTTATGTTACGAGTATGGTTAGAAAAGATGTTTTACGGACTGACAGGCATCACAATTTCTATGCTGGCAGTGACGACAATCAAAATATTGCTTCACTTTTCAATATATTAACGACGTAAGTATTTGTACTTAGAACTAAACTAGGTTAGATACCACATAGAAAATAAAAATATTACGTACTGCATTCAAATATTTTTCTTATTATTAGTACGTAAATGTAACTACGAGTAAATAAAGGTTTTTTTTACAGATACGCATTATATCACCCAACTGTAAGCTACTGCCAAGGTATGTCCGATTTGGCCTCTCCATTACTGGTCACAATGGGCGATGAGGCTCACGCCTACATTTGCCTCTGTGCTCTCATGACAAGACTGTATCCCAATTTCTTGCTCGATGGTGAAGCAATGACACTTAAGTTTAGCCATTTGACTGAATCTTTACAAGTGTACGATCCCGATTTCTATAACTATCTAAAATCACAACAAGCCGATGATTTATTATTTTGCTATCGTTGGCTGCTTTTAGAAATGAAACGCGAGTTCGCTTTTGATGATGCGTTAAGAATGTTAGAAGTATTATGGGCATCATTGCCACAAAAAACTCCATCTGTAGAGTTATCCCTCAAAGACAAAGAATTTGATCCCACATTGGATGAAGACATTGATCCTCCTCCTTTAAGCCCTTTGGTGAAAGCTCCTCGAGAAAACGCTTATACTAAAGTATGTGCAATGAGACGTCAAAGCTCAAGTTTCAGTTTAGCAAATATAAAATCGCCAAAGCTCGTTACTACTAAAAAAACTAATTATAGTCTCGATGAAAATATTACTCGTAAAATCTTAACAAATACGTCACTTAAACATACTAAAGATTTTCAAAGTCTTGACGATGCAGTTCTTCAAAGTGAAAAAGTACCTAGAGATCGCAATGAAAGTGGAACTAGAGCGGATAATCCAAATATTAAGGATTTTAAAGTTGCATCTCGAGTGAGCATGAAAAGCGTGCCTGAACACAAATCTTCGGATATAAAGGATTTTGGTATTTCTGATTGGTCCAGCGCTGAAAACTTAGTAAACGGCACATCGCTCACAGATGTTAGAGATACACCACTAGGAAACCAAATCCGCTTATTAAGAGATAAATTATCCATACATAATAACAGATTCTTTTCATCTTTAGACAAACTTGATAGTTCAACTGTATCAGACTCAAATAAACCGAAAGTAAAAATGATAAAGAATCTGAACGAATTTCTAAATTTCGCCACCGGAACTAAGCCTGACGGTTTAAAACACGAAAAGTTGCAACGAACACAATCAACATTAGAAAACTCAACTTCCAAGGAATGTCCAAAAATAAGTTTTACAAGTACTTCTTTTGACGAGAATGATTTATCAACCCAAATTAATAAATCACAAAAAAACAACAGATTATGTAAATCTTTTCTGTCTGATACGAACGACGGTAGCAGTCCAGATGATTCACAAGAATATTACCCGATGACTACTTCTATGACGAGAGAATTAAGACTGGAACTGGAACATTTAGATCGTCAAGTCTTCGGGCCGTCTTATGTGAACCGACGCAGCATGATATGCGATTCTCCATCTGAATCAACGAGCACTGATGAAAAACTAACAAATAATTACACCGAACAGAAATCAGAATGCGTCACAGCTTTAGAGATACAAACAGGAAAAATTGAAACTTTTGAAGTAATGAAAAAATCACCGTTATTTGAAACTATAAAATCTAATGCCAGGAGTGCGGAAGATATTTATCTTTGGGAAAATCCACTCCACAGAAATACACCAACAACTCGTACTACCGCAAGCTGTCCGCAAACTCCCGACGAACAAGCAGAATTGGATTTTGACGGAGACACTGGAGAAATTTTTGAAGAACATTCTGGTAAAAAGTCTATAACACCAATTCGATTGTTAAGGAAGAATCATTCATTGGAACCTCAAGATTTATGTCGCGATAACAATAAACATTCCGAAGTTCATTCCAGCGAATCTGACTCTTCTGAAAGAGAAGGTTTAGAGTCGACTAATACAGGGACTTTGAAGAACAATCATCAAGCAACGTACGTTAAATCTCATAAATTTTTCTCGAACATGTCCCACGAATTGGAAAATGCAAAACGAAACTGTGAATCGCTGCTAACCGCTAAACAATCTAACTTACATAGTGTAGCATCGACAATAAATAATTTTCAGAAAAAATACGAAGTGTTCAAACCACCTATTCAAAGACCAACCGCGTTCAGTTCGGTATGCGGTGAAAACTCCACTAAAATCAGTATAAGCAGTCTGCCGTCGCCAACTGTATTTGGTGGAGGCAATCCATTTTTAATGTATCTTTGTCTGACAGTTTTATTGCAACACAGAGATTACATCATGAGGAATCGTATGGACTACAATGAACTTGCAATGCATTTCGATAAAATGGTTCGGAAACATAATGTAAACAGGGTATTAAACCAGGCGCGACAAATGTACGCTATATATTTGAAACAACAAGCACATAAGACTGGCGATGTATCGACTTAATTAGAATTAATGTAAGCATCAAGATCTCTATAAATAATTTGCTCATAAGATGATATGTTAAATTATTATTATTGAAACACCAGTAGCATATAAGATTATTAATATGATATGTTTATAATTTTTGCCTTTTATATTCAAAGCAACAATGACAATGATAATATATTTTTTTAATCTTAAAATTGATTTGTTTCTAAATTACACGTAAAAACTTATTAAACAAATAAGGTTTATTCTATTGTTATATTTACGTTTTGTTTAATATTCCTGTGTAATATGCCCAAAGATTCTAATTGTGATATTATTTGCATTTATGCGAGGTATTATTTTTAAAAGCGACGATATTGTGATTGTTATATAATAATAAAATTGTTGCACAATGATCCAATTAATATAATAAAACATCAAAGGACGTAAATTCCAAGCAATCAAGTATTTTACGAAGTATTTATTAAATCACAATAATTATGATATTCCTAGTCATTCCGAAGAAAATATATCGCTGTACTTAATATTATATACAAATTTGCTTGCAATGCTTTATTTCATATTTAAAGCAGCGTATGTATATTTAAACTATGAACAAAAAATGTTATGTAAATAAAGTACCTATTAAACATATTGTTGTCGTTTATGGAGTGTAAGAGGAATATGCTAACTTTTTCTTTAAACGCCAATAATGTCCTCCAGACCGAATTTCGGTCACTGCGGCCAGCCTCAACGGAGACTAGCCATCGGCACAGGACAGGATTATAGTGCCCAAGTGTATGCGCAAGCACAGGTGCACTCTCTATGCCCTCACTCTCATAGTCCGATGGGACGGTAAACTGACAAGACCGGAGAGAGATCAGGCGCAGGACCAACAGCTTAACATTCAACACCGTCAACTTCCTGACTCCGGGCAGCTACTGAGAATTTCTTGACGAAAAAACTCAGTAACTGATATTTTTATAGCACGACCCGGGATTCGAACCCAGGACCTTATGATCAGCAGTCGTGTGTACAACCACTAGCTACACCAACGAGGCAGTCGTTAAACGTCAACAAGTTGATGAAGGAATATAGTAGCATCATATAGAGAACAGTACAAAATGAGAAAGCTTCGCGGATTTTTAAGTCTTGGCAGTTCTGAATATAAAACCAAGAAGTTTTGTACTTTTAGATACCACATGATCGTAATGGTCGCGGAACGTAAGCTTTTCATCCAACAGTATTCCAAGATCCTTAACTACGGATTTTCTATCAAGTACCTGTCCATTCATTTTGTCATAAAAAGTAAGCCTGTGTTTCTTATTGCTAAATGATATGACAAAGCATTTTCTTGTATTCAGATGCATGAAGTTTTCTTTACACCAATTATTAATGGAGTCTAAATTCGACTGAAGATTTAACGAATCGCTGAGTGTATCGATAACAGAAAAGAGCTTCAAATCATCTGCATACAACAGGCATGGACATGTTAATTTATCAATAAGATCGTTAATAAATATTATAAAAAATAAAGGACCTAAATAGGACCCTTGTGGCACACCCGATGTTACAGGAGCGAGTGAGGATTTGAAACCTTTTATAGTAACTAACTGACTCCTCCTCTTGAGGTATAATTCAGTCTTACTCAACAGATTCCCATGTATTCCATAACATGTTAATTTGATACATAAAATATTATGATTTACTTTATCAAGTGCTTTCGAGAAATCGGTATATATACTATCTACCTGTTTTCTCTTGGCGAAAGCACTGCAAATATTGTGTTTGTATTCAAGTAAAATAGAAGTTGTCGATCTGTTCTTAATAAAGCCATGTTGTCTAATCGATAGGAAGGGTTGAATATGGTGGTAAAGAGAATCATACACCACTAATTTAAACAATTTACCTAGGCAAGACAACATGCTAATGGGTCGATAATTTTTGCAATTAGACCTGTCGCCGGATTTATAAATCAGAACGATATGAGCTATTTTCCATACTGAAGGAAAAACACCTGTTTTAATGGATGTATTGAATAGAATACATAAGGGATTACTTAATCCCTTACCGCATTTCTTAATCAAGAAAGAAGGAAGACCATCTGCTCCAGGGCCTTTTCTTCGGTCTAATTTCGAAATCTTTTGCTGTATTTCTTCTTGAGTGATTACGATATCACTTAATATACAATTACTACGATTAGATAATTCATTATGAAAATATAAACTAGGCTCCACTGGATTTACAAAGACGGAACTGAAATAATTAGAGAAAAGCTCACATATTTCTTTTTCATCGGAAGATATGTGATTGCCATATTTCATCGTTTTGGGAATGCTATTAGAATTATCTTTCTTATCGTTAACAAAAGGCCAAAATAATTTTATGTGGTTCCACTTCATAAACCTGAATGCTGTTCGAACTGAAAAGAATTAGGTCTAAAAATCGTCCGTTGCTATTTGATATACTGTTATAATTATCAAGATTACATATTCTAAGGGTATCACAAAGCAGATTAGCTTTTTGACCTCGCGGATGATGAGGAATCATTATATTGAGATGATTTAGACCAGTGAACATCGGATGTATTGAAATCATCTATGCAAAGAAATTCTTCTGTGTTACGATATCGCATAATTACGTTTTGACAGTTGTATAAAATTTATCGATGCAGTCTACAGGCAGATCTTGTGGAAGATAACATAGACAAATATTAATAATTTTAACATTAGTGGCTTTTGGCAATATGCTGATCCACAAGTCTTCTAGTTCACTATTCCAGAAAGCTTGATGGATAAAATTTATTTCTTTTTTAACAGTAATAAGGATTCTCCCGCCCTCGGGTTTACGTATATTAGATTGATATCTGTCGCGCCTTACAACATTATAACGAGTGTCAATGAGTTCACCGTCAATAATAGTACTATTCAAGTTTGTTTCAGTTAGATAATGTCGTAATCATTATTAAGTACATTAAGGAACTCTTTTGTTTTGGATCTAAAGCGATTAACATTTTGATAATAAATCAACATTATACAATAGTAAAATTACAATATACATAAACCAAGTATAGCAAAAAAAGGGATACTAATAATAATATTATGACAGCTTGTTTAAGTATTCCATATTTATAATGTGTATACAAGCCGCAGTGTCTTCCTTACGAATATATATACGCCCGTACTTAACCCATGCATATTTATATTTCTTTTCCTTTGCAAAATGTATAACTGCATCATGAAGTGCCTTACATTCCGGAGAAAGATGTTCAGTCACATAATTTTTTTAATGTAATCCGATGTCATTAGTATTCAAGGGATTGTCTTTGTGGGCTTTATTATAACGATAACATGCGGAGAGAACTTGATCCCTTAAGCGTGTGTTAATGAGGGTTACAATAATATTTCTAGGGCGATCGGAGGAGATGTCGTATTTGGCAACTCTACGGCAAGAATGAATGTTTTCATCGTCTATTTGAAGATCTACGGTTTTACACAGGTTGCGGAATAAAAGCATTGGATTTTCGTTTCGACTTTCTGGAACTAATTGAATTTCTAAATTCTTGTTACAGGATATTTTTTCAATTGATGTTAAACGATTGGTTAGAACATTAATCTCCTTTTGAAATCGAAGAGTTTCACATTCTAGGTGTTTTATTATATGACTCTTATTTTCAATTTCTTGCAAAGATATTTTATAGGTCCAGATACCGTGTTGCTAACACACCGCACCGTTCATAGTGATGCCAGTCTTTGATACATGTGTGCGTGAGTACCACGTGACGCGCATATCTTACGTACAAAATACAAATCATGGCTGCATTAATATGCGTGACTTCGGTAATAACAGTAAGAATCGATTACCCAAAAAATGTGGGAGATTTTATATTTCATTCATATTGACGTACCTATTAATTCTACGAGTATAAAATGTGTGTGTGAGGCGTGTGCATTTGTGTGCATGTGTGGTTGGTTATGTGTTTTATGTAGGTACGAACATCGCACTAAAATATTGAAGATATGTAATTGTACACGCACTTAGTTGCCCAGACTAAGGTCTACCATACAGGGCCCCATACAGCTGTTAGGTTCAACGGACAAAAGTGTGGGGCTCAAATGCCTATGGATATTTAATATATATGGACTAGGTACTTAATGCGACTTACCTGATTCTGAGGCGAAGACGGACCACAAGGCTCGTTCAGGCGTTAAGTGTAGTGAATGTAAGTAGTGTGTGTGAAGTGTATATATATTTAACTTGAATTAGCCCTTTTTAATCAGCAGCAACCCTGACTCCAGCACCGCCACCCTATGTGACATCCTCCAGCGGCGTCACCACAGGACAATTTCTTTCTTCAATTCACTATGTCAGTCGATCAACTTTATTGTACATTTAACTAACTTCATAACTCAACTAAATCCCGTTAATTATAATCAAAAACGTAACACGCGGCACGACTGATGAACGTTGGGTCAAAGTTCACTTCCGTTCACTCAGCAACAAATTATTTCGAAAACCGAACGCGACCTTCTAAGGCAGTGATCACGCGGCTCGAGTAGACTCACTGCAACACACACAACCTAATCCGAGGCGGTCTTCACGAAACACAATTTAAGTAGCGAAGTAATGCGCACAAATACTGAAAATCTAGACCATAAAACCAAAACTGGTCGCACGAAATCGCTGCCACGGTCATCACAAATACGTTACGTTGCGACGGCGCCGCTGCACTTAAGCTACTGTTTTCGCCCATGAGCGCCAAACGCTGGGAATCTGCATATCGATGCCCCCTCCCCGCGACGCGCGTGACACCTAACACCATCGGGCGATTCGTTAAGTCGAAGGCGATTGGATGCCGTCTCCAATGACCATTTTTGGGCCTAAACAGTAATTAAACCTATAATTAATGTAACAGTTAAAATAAATAAAAAGGCACAGTAGATATTTATGTACGTATCATAAATTTATAATCAATTATTATTAAATATATACAGAGTACTACACTCTACAGGTTGGTTTAAAAATAAATAAAAAAG